AAATGAGAAGTAAAAGGATACTTGTGCTAAGCTATTTAGAGAGATCAAATAGTGTGGTTCTAAGTAGAAAAGAAGGATTTGACTTAATTGAAACAAATGATTGATTGATGTTGATTGATTTTGATGGATACGATGAAAATTTCCCGGACGGCAAAAAACTTTATCCAAGCAAACTATTTCCCAAAAAATTCATATTTATAAAAACAGCTCGTGAGAAATTATGATTGATGACATAAAACACAGCAAACTGTATTGTGGTTGCTTTTTATTGTGTTCGCCTCTAAAATTTCACTTTTATTACAGTGATAACCTCATTAGAAGCTATTCGACGATTGAGAAAATTTCACGTTATATTAACTTTGTATTTAACAATTATAGGCCTTTTTCACATTTAATTTCAAATTTTATATTCGAATAAAATATTAGTTAAACTTTAAAATTTTTATTTGTTGATTTATAAAAGAAATTATCTAATATAAATAAATGTTTTTAAGAAATAATTTTTAAATTAAATTGAAATGTTAGTGATGTTATAAAGACATTTAATATTAAAAGATTTTCACACTTTTCGTTTGGTTTTAAGTCTACTTAAGAGATAATTTTGATTTAATTTAAACAAAGTAAATATTTAAAAAATAATAATTTCTTCAAGGTTAACAAATGAATCGGCTTATATTACTACATTTTATGCGATGTATCAGACATTGACAGCACCTGCCAAATTTGCGATTGCTTCTGGGCTTCTTTTGATTTAATAATTGCCTATTTTATAAGATCGGAAAATTAAGAAGCTTCAATAGACCCTATAGGCTTCACGGTATTTAAAGCATTGATATCTCTATTATGTTCGAATAAGCTTGTCAGCGTTAAAAATAATGATCTAAATTATGTAGTTTCAGTAACGTACGTGAATAGTATCTTAAAATTTTATTGAGTTAAATTTATATATTTTAAACAATATTAATTTTATAAACAATTTTAAACATATTAAAAAGTAACAATTACTGNATATTTTATATAGACCGACACTTAATACCAAAATGCATATTGAATGATCTTTCTGTATACCTAAAATTCGCTTTATTATTATTACTATTTTATAAAATTTCGATTAAAAGAAGTCCAAAAAAACTCATAAAACATTAAAAACTTCATATGCAAGCAAAAATTATAATGCTGACATGAGTAATAAAGGTGACCAAATATAGTGTATTTAGACTATGTGTTATTGTTAATTACATACAATGCAGTATGTATTAATCATAAAAGTTCGGATAAATAATTAACTTACGCTATAAATACATTTTATATAATACATTTTTTAAAGATTTTATTTAAAAATATATGACAGGAAAAATGTAAATTTTTAGAAGGAACAATAATTAAATGTACAGGAAATAGCATGTTATTATATTAGGTTATAGATCGTGGTATAATTGAATTGATTTACATTTTTCTATTTAATGTAATGCCTGTAGAAATGTATCGTAAATACTATGCCATATATACCTGCAGGTTATCTATAATAATTATAATTATTAATATTATTTCTATAATTAATCGGTAGTTCTCAACAAAATTCGGAAATTAACATAGAAAATGATTTGGAAGAGACACAGGAAATGATTGAGGTTGACGGCACCTTAAGGGCCTAACACCTCAACATTTTTAATACTAGAACTGCAGGACTATGCCTACTCCAATAATAGGCTTTGGGATAGGAAAGTTCGAAGTATATAATTAGTGAAAATTACTACAGGCGCCTTCTTGATAAAGAACACTTGTTACATTAGAAATGAATGTAAAAGATCTGCAAATAAAACTTTCGATATATGCAAGTTATATTTGATTTTATTAAAAATGAAACGTGTAATTTTTTAAATGAATATTTTGTTATATGTTACGATACAACCTTATTTCTTTAGAAAGAAATTGGGTTATTCGATCGAAAAATTAATTCAGCCATTAAATTTATATCGAAACTAATTTTTATAAAGTTTGCCCTAAGTTTGCCCTAAATTTTATTATATAAGAAACTTTTTAATTCATAAGTTGGCCGAACTTTTTAGAATTGTCTCCATTAACTTCTAAACATTTCTCCACTCGCTAGACTTAGAGATACCATCAGCCCCACCCTTAATCTGCAGTTGTCTGCTTCTCCTAAAAACAACCAATGATAAATACCAGCAATAGTACCACGCCCTTTTAGCCTATTCTCACACAGCCGAATAAAGGATCTACTTTTTATTTCCCTTGATTTAACTGATTTGTCATCAAGATAGTTGATGGCTCGAAACGATCTTCCTTAATATCCTTATTTCTTAACTTTATCATTTTTTAACCATTTGAAAACGTAGACCATGTTCTATATTTAAAAAAATATACTTGGAAAAAATAGCTAGTAAATTTATACAGCGTACTTTTGAATTTACCAATAAATCATAAATCTAAATTTATGCGAAATATAAGCCGCTTATATTATGTATATATCTTTATAGAGATCTAAACAAATAAACCGGAGAAATAGGCGTACGTCGTTATAAGTTCAAGAATCTCAAGCATAACATTTTTATTTTGAATTTTAAATTTAGAGCTCAATGTAATATATAGTAAATTTTATATTACTAAAACTTATAAGTACAAATTTTTCTTTTCAATTTCGTAATTGTAATCCATAATTTGTATTCCAAGCTTTCCTTTTTCATCTTTCACCTGACATCTCTCTGATTCTGAATGCAAATTATTAAGAATGTTAAATTAACAATAATGATTAATCTAACATCCTAAAACGCTACATAACTTAATCATTATATCAATTAAAACAAAACTTTATACATAAAAGCAGAATATGTTTTGTTACATATAATTTTATTTAAATACGTCATCAGAATAAATTGATTTATTTACACTATTAATTTATGTTCTCTTTCTTCTCCATACTTTCTTAACTGATTTAATTCAAGGATTTCTTTATTAAGAAATTTGTTTTGCAATTCAAAAGCTTGTAATGCATCCTAAAAAATTTAATGACAAATAAATATCTATATACATGATAAGAATTACTCTTTTATGAACTGAAATTATAGATTGAAAGTGACAATTACATTAAATTTATATATTTGCAGCAAGTATTTAAGTATCAAAGTTAATACCTCACTAATTTTTAATAACACATTAAATCTCTACACAAAAATTAAAACACAGTTTGATAGAATATCATAATATAGAGTTAGTTTAGTGCAAATATTTTGATCTCTTCTATTGATGCAGTTTTCTTAAATAAGTTAATTTCTGAATTTTTAACTGTTTTAATATTAACAGATGCTTAAATGAAATCATAAATTAAAATTGTTTCCAAATGTGATAAATATTGCTTTCAAAATTTAGAGATTTTAATAAAATAATAGAATGACAACATTTAAATTGACAAACAATCTAAAACTAAATATTTGCAATTTAAAATAATACAATCAGATATTATTTAATAGGAGTGAGGTGCCTGTTTTGCCTGTTTGTAGAAGAGGGTTGTCATTTTGTATTTTATTTTGACTCAGTTCTCGGTCCCCCCACTACCTACGAGTCTGGATTTTTTTATGCGCAAATGATTTGGGCACCTAATACTCTGTGCCATATATCTACTCTCGACATGTACTTCTTCATACTTCTATGCTGGTAAGAAAATCGGGCAGTACGATTTTATAAACAAGACATAGTCTTGTCAATAACAAACTTATTTTCATTCTTGAAAGAGTTAAAACACCNTTTTTAATTATTATTCATATGATTTTAAATGCACATAAATAAGTTAGTAGCTAATACCTTAAAATAACTATAAAATTAAACAAAATGGTGCATTTAAATGAATTCTAACAATTACATTCAAATACATTCAAAAATATTGTTTTGATGTAATAATTTTATAAATGTCATCTTGTGTAACATTTCTAAAAGCCATCTGACATTGTTGATGATATTTAAATATCATAAGTACTATAATATATAAATTATAATCAATCACAAACAAAATCTTTTTTAACCAGTAATTGAACTTTAACATAACTTCCGAACGTTTTCAGCCTTCACCAGGCCTACTTCAGGTAATGAACTAAACTGACTTCCAAACTGAAACATTAGAACGATGATGTTCGACTTTAAACTTTGTATATATCAAATTTATGAAGCCAACTTGAAAGGCAACTGTATTAACTTTAAAGACTGTGAGACGGTGGCGCATGTGTGGTACCTGTACAAGAAATTCAAATGAAGTCAATCAGCCATGTGAATTTGAATTATATAAAGTTTAAAGTCAAACATCATCGTTCTAACGTTCCAATTTGGAAGTCAGTTTAGTTCATTACCTGAAGCAGGCCTTGGTGAAAGCTGAAAACGTTTGAAAGTTATGTTAAAATTCAATTACTGGTTAAAAAAGGTTTTGTTTATGATTGTTTATTTCTCACCCAGGTAATTTTGAGAAGACTGTTATAAATAATAATCATCTTAGAGTATTATCACCAAATAAAAATTATACATAATGTATAAAATAGAAATGATATATATAATATATATATATATATATATATCTTAAATCTATTTACAATTAGGAATAAAAAATGATGAATTAGTTTAGAATCAATCTAATAAATAATCTATAGAAATTTTTGAATATATTTCTATGAAAAGTTATAAATCGACTTATATCAATGTAAATAAAACCTTTAAGAAAGTAACAATAAAGTTTCAGTTCATACAGATCCTAATCTTTATTGGCAATAAAGAAATTCATTGTCTTAATTAAACAAAAATATTTTTTATTTAGTTTTTAATACTTTAGATTCAATGGAAGTATATGAAATATATATACTGTACTGTACTTGTGTATCAATATGTAATTATTTCAGTTCAATTTAATTAAACATGCCTTAAAATTTAAATTTAGATTAAAATATAAGTCGTGCACCATAGAGTTTAACTATATTTAAGCTTTTTTGTTGTTGTTTTAGATTGAATGATGGATAAAAAGTTAACGTTGGACAAATTAACATTTGTCATAATATCACTTCCGAGGCATTTAGAAGTATCAAATCATCCTATCACGCCAGAATACAGGCCTATATAACAACTGAGAGTGGTCAATTTGAACACCTATAAGACATGATAATAACCTTATGGTAAGCGACTTATGGACCACCCTGTACAGTACTTGTAAATTAATGAAATATAATTTTTGAAAAGATAAGCATACTACTTATTCTGTACTGTACAGTACAGTACATTTCTAAATTAGAAAACAAATAAATTTAATGTTTTTTTAATTTAACTTACTTCATTAACTCTTGATACTAGTAAATTTTATTATTATTAAAGTATAAACAGCATTAATAAACATTGTATAATAATATTATAGGCTATATATGTATATAGATTTTTTTTATTTCTTTCACAAATTATTAAACATTGAAAACATATAAATAGACTGAGACAATTATTAAATAATTTCTAGAAATTAAAAATATGAAAACAAAAAATTAAATGGATCATTCTAAAGAAATGAAAGTTTAATATAAGTAAATTGTTTTTCAAGATTAGAATTCGTATTAACTTAGTCATTATTAAGATTCACTTTTATAAATCATGATCTAAATAAATCATTTATTATCAAATTCATTTTAAGAGATTTGGACCGGGCTGTAATGGGTGGAGTCGATATGAGAACAATATTAAGTAATCTCTAATGAACTGAAGATTATCAGACTAAACTGTTCATATTGACTCCACCCAAACGACTAATAACAAAGATGAAAGAAATTGCTATGATTATAAGGTCATAATATGGTAAGACATTCCATTCGTGTCCATAATTTGAAAAATTATTGTGCTTGAATATAACTAAAAGATTTATTTATCTTTATCATTATTATAAACTAGGTACTGAAAGCTTGTAATTTTAAATGATTATAAACTATGGAAATAATATCATTTTAATAACCATAATATTTATAATAAATTGTTTATTTTAAATTTCTTAAGCAAATAATATATTATTTGATGAAAAAAGTAATTATAATTAACTGTTATAATTAAATGTGTTATTAAATTTATATCTCCAATAGTTTTGGTGTAGTTTATTAGACTTATTATCATAAATAAATATTTAAATAATGAATTTTTTATAACATAGAATGAGAATTTGAAATAAATAATAATAATAATAGAAGGTTAATCAATAAACATAAAAAACAGACAATTATTTCTGGTTTTGAGATATCGCCTATAGGATTTTCAATTTTTAATATCAATTAATTTAGACTGTAGTTTTTTTAATTTATAGATATAATTTATAAAAAGCTATCCTTTGTTTTTAATGACATTTAAGTAATAATTGATATCAAAAGGGTAAATTACTTTAAAAAAACAGTCATTATTTATTTATAATTTATTTACATGTATATTATAAATTACAACATAAATATATTATTGCTATTAATATATCTGTTGATAAGATTAATAAATTAGGTGGAAACATTTGAATCGATGAAGGTAAAACATAATGTTGACATGATATCATAAATATAAATTAGACATATTCGTCCAGCATATAATCAAGCATATAATACACTGCAATCAAACGTGCCAAATGGAAATTTATTTATCTTGCAAGATAAAATTTTGAAATATAAGTGGAGATCAGAATATGAAATGTGAGTTTTCAGATTATATTTATAACATTTCAACATATAAAATAACAAGATTTTTCTTGTAATAACTCTTCAGCTATTTAAGTCGGATTAACATTTAGAATAATTCTTTCAAACTTATTTCAACTATGAATGAGATTAATATTCAATTTATAAAGCAAGTATTTTGTCTTTCAGTAAGGTGAATAAGAATGTTCGGTGAAATTTCTTCATTGAATTAAATCCATTGCATATTCAATCATCATCAATATTATATATGATTTAATTTATGTATTTCTATAGACATTTTCATAGAAGATATTCTTTAATAAAAATAAATTCAATATTTTCGATAATGGAAAGTAGATTTTGTGTTATTTATCACGAAGCATATATTCTTAGCAAAGAATTTATACCACGCCCAAAGCCTCAAGAAGAACGTTGTATCCTGCCAGTTATAATTATTATTATATATTTTACTAATATTTTCTTGCTGACAGAAATAACTTACCTTGAGAATTAAACCATTGGAGATTTTTTATAACAGAATGTGTCAATGAAACAATAACCATCAGACAATAGTTATTTGACCCCTCCCTCTACTTAAAGAAATGCCTTCGGGAACATAATTTATAAAAAATTTTTATACAATTTAAATTGACCCTACCTACGTCATTGACTATTTCATGGTTCATATCTATAATATATCGTGGGATTCTGCGACATTTTAATTTACTTAAAACTATAATTTACTGACAATAATCTGTAGAAAAGGCGCTTAGATATAGAAATATATACTTTTGTATAAACAGTTTATAAATCTACTTAGCCGAACTAACCTTAATCTCATAATTACAGGGTAGGACTATATCTAAAGCAATTTAATACATGTTTGAAATATTAATCTATTCAAGGTTGATTTATTTGCATATTTTAATTGTCAAGTAAATATGTGTCAAAAATTATATTTTGCAGTCTACCAGACGCTATTTTTACAGGGGATTTTATTGATTTATAAATATCATTTACTGTTGCAGCATGTATTTTCAGTTAACTTTATCAAGTAATGATGAAGTTACTGATTAACAAAGACTATATAAATTAAAAAATAATGTTTTAATTTATGTTTCCTTTTCTGTTTTTATTAGTTTTAGATTTATTGTGAAAATATTAATGTATGTTTCATATATTTAAAGAATGTTTAATGAAAGAAAAGCGTTTCGGATGAATTGAATTCCACACATTTAATTGTTTATGAAAAGATCTTGATGACTCATAAAATTTAAAAGGTAATTAAAGAGGGATGGTGTACTTAATGATTAAAGTAATCAATGATTGTTTTATTATATTGCCAATTTTAAATGGTTAAAGTAAAATGAGTAAACAATATTTTTATTTTAATTAGATTGTTATCGAGATTGTCGACGTGGTTTATATTATCAAATCAAATTTGATGATTTGAATGAGTTAAAATCAAAAAGATTTTGGCAAAAATTAATATCAAAAATGGAGATGAGAAATTTGCTTCTCAGAAAACAGGTCAAACTTTCACAATATTTTCGTTTTAGCACTTAGATTTATAATGAATAATTTTTACTTTCTTCTATTTAATTATAATAAATTTAAACTTCTAAGAATACATACATATATATACATTAATAGTCATTAAATCATTTTATTTGTATGATAAATTAAGAAAAGGAGATTTAATTCTGTTTGTAGAGAGGGAATCAATAAAATTATGTCCATTTAAGTGTGCGATAATTTTGTTTATTCTGTCGCATAAACTTCATTTTTAGAATTTTAAGTTTTATAATCTATAGAAATATATTATGTATATCTTTATTTAATCTAATTTTAATTACATTCATAACATATGCCAAATTCGGTAGTTATAATTGACGTGTAAAACATTAAAAATAATTATTTTTAAGTTTAATTTTAAAAATATAAGCTATATAATATAGGTTAATAAACATTTCATATGCTTAATAAAATTTATATATAATTTAAATAAAAAATTAATTATTACATCATTTTATACAGTAGAGAAGAACTAAATCATATAAATCTTTGCTCTTTAAAATTAAAATTTTTATATTTTTAATAACTTTTTAAAATATTTTTCTATGTTGACACTCTCTTTTTACAGATATTATTAACTTGCTATTAAATATATTTACTTATACCTCAATTTTTAATGTAAAAATATTAAATTTTACATCTCTATATGATAATATGATCTTAAGATTTGATTTACAACTCACCTGGTAAAAACTAAACTTTAAAAAATTTAATATACACAATTTAAAATGTAGTCAATATAGTCCAAACTCTGAAATTAAAATGAAATTTAAATACTGAACTTTCAAATATATATAAAATCTTTTAACTTTTTTACTTCATTCTTTCTTAATTAGTATCTTGCCTTCTTTAATTAGTATTTTGATTATGGTAAGTAGCAGATTGGTCACTTATAATTACAGATCAGAAGAAAAGAGCTAGAGGCTGATCCTATTATAGACTATCTATAAGCCTTTTATAAAACATCAGATCAATGTCCTGTTGTTAATTAACTCAGTAACTTATAAATAATGCGTAGATCATAAACATAGTGTTGATATCTTATAAATTATATTATATTGTGAGATTCTATCGATTAGGATTAAAATGCGAGTGATAATATTCAGATATACAACCTGATTAGGAATAGCGTTAAGACTATTTAACGTTTTATATAACCTATAATTACTCTGTTTAATTTCATTATTTTTCATATTCGTATAAGATTTTTGATTTTTAATTATACATATTTTAAATTTACATCTTCCAAAATCCTTAACGTAAAATAGAAGCAAATAATATATGATTAACAATGATCAATTATTGCTTTATTTATTTATAAGACTAATTTTCCCAAGATTTTTGTAAATGATACATCATTTGCACTTTTCAATAATTATAACTTAGTGTAATTTTTGCAGTGCCACAGAATTGTATAACACTCTTCTAGACTTGCAACATCTAACTCCTTCTTTATATATCTATGTATTATCTATAATGGAAAACTATTATTTCATCAATCATCACATATCAGCATACTTATGTCAACGTCAAAATGAGGGAAATTTAAAAAATGTTAATAATAATTGTTAAAGATTGTTGACATCTCCAGTTATCACTGTAATAAATGTATTTTTCAAAAATTATAGAAGTATTATGTAGATATACCACTATTTCATGATAAAAAATAATTTTAAAAATGTGCATTAATTAAATTAAATTAAATTAAATTTCAATCACTCAGAAAATTATCTATCAAAAATACATTTTGAACCTGCAACTTGTTGTCTAATACCTAAACACAGTAATTATCAGTTACACTACCATATGCGTGATATTTTTAACATTTGTATTAATTTTGATTATTATGTATATAATAGAAAAACTGCAATAGTATAGACTGTGATAATTTGGACACATTCAGAGAATAGCAGATTATATA